AAATCTGAGTTAGAACCACATGTAGTACCTATATATGTAATATCAAAGCAATTGGACTTGAGGTTTTTAACAAGAAGTCGAAAATATCACTTTTTACCAAAAATGACAAAAATATTCACCAAAATTAGAAAATTAAAGATATCATTACAAAATGAACAAATCTGAGTTAGAACCACATGTAGTACCTATATATGTAACATCAAAGCAATTGGACTTGTCGCTTTTAACAAAAAGTCGAAAATATCACCTTTTACCAAAAATGACAAAAATATTATAATTAGAGAATTGAAGATATCATCATGAAATGAACAAATCTAAAAGATGCCTACCCAAGGTACATATACACCAAGTATCAAAGCATTCAGGCTTGTAGTTTTTAAGAAGAAGTTGAAAAAGTAAAACATTGACACGGACGACGACGGACAATCACTCATATGATAAGCTCCGCTTGACAAAGTCGACAGCTGAGCTAAAAATCTGATTTCTTGTAAATTTTCTGCTTGACTTTTAAGTATGTACATGGAACTACTCTCAGTAACTAAAACAATGTACCGGTGATCAAGTTCAGAATGAAAAATAAGCATATTCTGATTTATGATATAGTAAGAACTTGTTTGAAACGTATTTGATCGAAAAATTCACTGAATATATATATACCTGACAAATTTAATAACAATCTACATGTCTTTTTGTTTTTAAGAGTGTTGGAATAAAGTTCAAGGGGATAAAAGCAGATGATGTCAGTACTTTTAATCTTAGTCGGTTCTGGGAAGAAACTGGTAAATTTATTCACAAAGCACTGAATGATAACGGTAAGTTCATTAAAATATAAATATTAGATTCAATAAAGGCTGTATGCAAATATTCTTTTTCGCTGTCAAAAAATGATGATTTCCATAGATGCAAGATTCTTATACTGTGGTTATGTTTTGTGCCAATGAAGAAATGTTATGTTTGAGTAAGATGTTAGGGGGTGTCCAATGCCCCCCCCAACTAAAAATAAAAAATGTAACCGTCAAAATTAGAAAAAACTGAATTATTTCATTTACAGCAAAACATTATTCTAAATAAAATTTAACTCAAAAAGTGATTGAACATTTTTTTTAACCATTTCTAATCGTTGATTTATAGCCTGAATAATATTCTTTTCCTTACAAGATTATTATGCGTTGACTAAATTTCGTCTCACTGAAGAAATACTCTGTAAATCATTATCCTAGTGTGAGATAAATTTCTGTGAGTTTCATGAGTCAGGAAAAAACATTCGGATCCTTCAGAAACAAAGTGCCTACTGTGAATAGGGGCACATTCAGGATGTTTCATTGGGGGGGGGGCTTCACAATCTTTACAATGATGTCATTGACGTAACCACTGGTTTAGGAGGGTACACATAACCCTCTGACTCGCCACTTGGTGAAATTTAATATCTATAATGTTGTGAAAATGTAATGGTGCAAGGTTCTAATATTTTACCTATGTTTTGTTTGATAGGAAAGGTACTGGTCCACTGTTACATGGGATTCAGCCGAGCAGCTAGTACAACTATAGCATACCTAATGTTGTATCATAACATGTCGGCACAAGAAGCAACACGGACAGTAAAACAGAAACGAAATATTGGTCCAAATGAAGGATTTTTGCAACAACTTTGTGAATTAGATAAGAAATTGATGGGGAAACGAAAGCATAAAATGTGAAAAAATACAACAGTACATAAGCAAACTATGGTGGCCCATAACGACAAACTGCACACTATGGTGGCCCATAATGACAATATAGTGTTAACTAATATTTTTTGATCAAAAGCTTCAGTGAATAACTATGGTATAACAAGACACTGTGATATAGGCAAGTTCTGCTACAAGAAAAGTAGGTAGTTTATGTGAAACTTTGATGTATGTATATAACACACTTGGTATTCGGTTTAGATGGGTTTCAATGTATGAAACTCCTCTATAAACTGAACAGACTTATTTTTGATCAGTTTAGACAGGTTATACTGTATAAAAGACCTCTGTAAACTGGACGTGTTTCTCAGTTCAGTTGGTGCTTCATTTCAATGTATAATATTGATGAAATCTTGTATTACAAACATTTACGGTGGTAATTTTGAGCTGACTTTTTTTTTAATTAAACAAAAATTTATTAATATTCAATTGTTACCAGGCACAAGATCAGTGTATCTTCTCATTGGGATATTTTATCATGTTTTTGTTGGGGTTTGAAAAATGTAGCAGGTACTTATATTTACAATAAAATAATGCATTCATAATTGCATTGAACTAATAATATTGTGCACTGCATTTTATCGAAATGCTGTGTTTTCATTGGTAGATTGGTACTACATGCTGCTCAGTTATCAGACAGTAATTGGCCAGTGCTTGAGGTCAATGCACAAACAGTTGAAGAAAACAAAACTCTAAATCGATCAGCAACATCCAATGTTTTTCTTGCAGCACTACCAGTTCGAATATTTTTCTCCACTCTTGTCAAACTACAACAAGGGAATGGATGTCACCAGTGACTGCAACTCATTTCCCTCTCAACTGCCTTTCCTTCCATCTTTTTGTGTGCCCCCCCTTCCTTAACTGACTGCCTACTTCCTTCTGATACCAATTCATCAGTGCCCTATATAAGTAGCCACTCTGGTCCCATACGGCATACATGGTTTAATCATAGTCGTCTTTTTCCCTAGAGTGTGACAATGCTGGTTGTTGAGTTCTCTCAACCAACTTGTGAACTTGTTGGAGTCATTGCACTCTCAGGATCCCTCTGAGGTAACATAATGCATTCAGTTTGTATTTATCTATTTGGGTTGTAACCCATATTGTATGGAAGTGTAGTGATTATCATTGTATATGCAAAATGTAGCCACACACACACACACACACACACACACACACACACACACACGCACACGCACGCGCACGCACACGCACACGCACACGCACACGCACACGCACTCGCACGCTCGCACGCACGCACGCACGCACGCACGCACCCACCCAACCACCCACCCACCCACCCATATCCCTGTAATAAGGTGATGAAGCTGGGCTATAAAGATATCTGATCCACACTGTTGAGATTCAGCTGGTATGCCATCTGGTGCTGTCACCTTGCATTTCTTCAAGTTATCTGCTGCGTTCTTGTCTTCTCCAGTTTCTGCAGTTTCTCTTCCCTATATGGTCTTCTGATTAGTAGTGTATGACTCTTTCCATGTCCTTGAAATAGCTTGACAATCTTTCCTGCCAGTTAGAGAAATACTATCTGTTGTTTTGGTAATTGGTGCTGACTAGCATTTAACCCTGATAATTTTTTAACAAATTGGAACAACTCCCTGGTATAACTTCGGTCTACAGCCTGTTTCATTTTCTTTCCCATATCTCCCAACCACTTCTGCTGGTCCTTCTTGGCACTCTATCTTGTCAAATCAAAGTATCGCGGCTTGTGGAAATCTTTTTCAAGGCAATCCCTCACATCTTTTGCTCTCTTCTTTTCTATCACCAAGTCCTTGGTTGTCTTTGAGATCAATTGTTGGCATTTATGTTCTCCAGCTGTCTTGGCTGATTGTCAACTGCCCTCCCCAAGACATGCTTCCTCCACTGTAGTTGCACCAGTGATGTTCCTTCTGTTTTACAGTCAGAGGATGAAGCCTACTCCACTTGTGAGTGTATGGTCTAGCTGGGTCCTTGTGCCCGTAACATTAATGGTCCTTTGGTCAACTATTTTATTTCAACCATTTAAAGTCATTAGCCAAATTTTGGATGTTGTGTTCACCTTTTTCATATAGGACAGCAGAGCATTGTATACATATCTAAAATAGTTAAAGGGAAAGTCAAGGCTAACAACATAATACTCCCATGTATGAATGTAAGAACTAGCCTGACAAGTTGGCGTAGGTGACGCCCTGGACTGCTGCGATCCCCACCGTTGGTGGCGCCACCGACGCCAACTTGTCAGGCTAATGTAATGTAAGAACATGCAAGTTACATTTATGTAGTCCGCCATCTTGATTCTTCGGCAAAGGATTATGGGTAAAGTATGACATCCTAGAATTTGTTGTCAGAAATTAAGAAAATGATTTCATCTATAACTTCAAAAGTTGAACTTTAAATTGGCTGAAAGTTTATAACATAGTAGCGTTACAAAAGCCACATTTTTATGACACTACAGGATGATTTTTAAAAGTAGAACATTCGTATAATTTAGTGAAACATTCTAATTTGACAGGATTATAATGCTCCATCAATCATTGGCACATGGAAAATGTTGAGCAGGATGGCGGAGACAGAGCAGCTGTTTCTAACAATGCAATACAAGTTCATATTTCCGTGATAAAAAAATCTCTTCCTGCTATTTAATTGTGTTGGGTTACATGTGAGTGAAATATTTCTCCACTGTCAATATTTTAGTCTATTCTACTAGTAGTTTGGTTTCTTATCTTAGTTATGTTTCATGGATGACATCTAAAACGAATACATGATCAGCAATACTGCCAATACAATAATACAATGTTTACATCTGATGCAATTGTCAGCTGCTGATGTCAAAGGTCAGCCCACACAAGGGCCAATTAAATTGCAATAGGATCTTGGAAAATTTTTATGAATTTGTATATTTTTTGAGCAAAAATTTCAAGATGAAAATCAATGAAAAATTGTTTCCTTGGAAAATGTGACTATCATGAATTCATACAAGTGAGGTTTTTTATAAATAAATTAGTTTGGGTTCCCCGAATGTCAAACGTGACAGCCATGCTCATTCGCAACCAATACAGATTTGCATATCGTCTTCTTCAAATACCGTGAAGATTGATGTTGGAGGAATCCATTACGTAATTCTGTCAGATTTATAGATTGCCGTATTTTTCAATCTATTTTTTTTAAAGCAGCATACAGAATATGATATTAAATACTTTAAAATGTAAATATATTAACATGAAAACAATGTTGGGGATTCCTTTGTGGAAGGCACCGTGTGGATCAAATTGTTAAATATTTACTTTTTCTCATTTCACAAATTGTAATCGGAATAGAATTATTTTTAATTATTGATGTTGTTTTATAATAATCCATTTTTTATTCAAATCGCCGTCACATGATTACACTACCTGGGCCGACCAGACTTAAAGATGGCAAGGGTTTAGTCAATAGGTGGCGCTATTTATACAAGTTTAATCACCAGTCGTGAAATAATGACAGGAAAATAACTATTCCATATATACTTTAAACATAAAATGTAACATTGATTTCAATAGGCAGTATAGCTTTATTCTTATTACTGAGACCATCATATGAGATTACCGCCATTTATATATTTACTCACCGGTATCTACCTCATTCAGCCAATCTATGTCATAGGAGATGATCATTATTTCTATATTTCCTCCACCCTCAACTAGGAGGTGGTCATTATTTCTATATTTCCTCCACCCTTAACTAGGAGGTGGTCATTATTTCTATATTCAACCTCAACTAGGAGGTGGTCATTATTTCTATATTAACTCCACCCTCAATTAGGAGGTGGTCATTATTTCTAAATTTTACTCCACCCAGAACTGCCTCATCCAGCCCATTTATCGCATATGAGAAAATCATTATTTCTATATTTACTCCACCCATATCAGCCTCGTCCAGCCATCTATCTATCTCATATCGAGGTGACTATTATTTCCATGCATTGACTTCACCCATATCAACGTCGTCCAGTTCTTCTATCTCACAGAAGGTTAACATTATTCAACGCATATCAATCTCATTCATGCATTCATAGATTGAGCAGATAAATATTTTATTTTTACAGTTTATTATGTACATATTTATTTATTTATTTATTTATTTATTTATTTATTTATTTATTTCGACCAAATAAGTCACAAAAATATGAACGAGACAAATGACAACATACTTTAAATACAAATACATACGGAATGTTTGCTGCAAGTGGTATCATGTTCAACTGCTGGAATGTGTTCAGTAATTTAATCATTATCTTAATAAATAAGTAAATATTATATTATATCATGTGTAAGGAGACGTGTAGTGGATAGAGGCAATCAGACAACCATCATAGTTGACTTTACAGTTGATTGTTTAATAGATATAAACACGTAAACGCTATGGAAACAGAGTTCGCACTATAGTATTACATCAAAATAAGAAATGTGATAAGAATGACCTATAGAAGGTCATCTATCGATACCTTTGTTGTATGCCTTGCTTTGTACCCCGGATGTATCCGCAATCAGGCCCGTAGCCAGCACTTTTGAATAGGGGGTTCGAAAACAACAATAAATGATAAATTTATTTATAATATTCAAAAAGTGTTTTTGAGCTCTGTTACATACATTTTTATATTCTCAGTATTAAATTCAATTGGTTTACTTTGTGTTATATTGGTAAATTATTCCACATAACATTTTTGAACTATTTTACCATTTTAGAGAAGGGGTCCTAGGCCATTCCCCACCCACAAACACACCCACACCCTTGATCCATTACGGCAAAATGTTGTACACAAAAAAGACAAGACTGTACGTATCTTAGCATTATTGTCCAAGCATTTTAAGGTAGAATGCTACTCACGAGCTTTTTCGCTCTTCACAGATGTTAGCGCACATAAAAGTGACACAATTTCATGTCGAAATCTGTCTACAATTATTCATTTTAGTATTAGTCAATTATGTAATTTTATTTCTGTACAGGGCCTCACCACAT